CTTGTTTTAGGTAGAAGGTATTCAAAATCCATAAATTATTGCGTTCTGCGAATTCTACTAGTAGCTCTCCTCTGGCGTTTCTAGTACCGATGCCATAATCTCCTACTGCCTGGTCTCCAGCATGCTGCTTCCCTACCTTTGCATTAAAGTCGCCCATCACTATAGTATACTGTGTTTTTGCCTTACTCATTGCCGATTCCACGTCTTCATAGAAGCTTTCAACTGAAGTGTCATCGTGGCTGGATGCAGGTCCGTAAGGCTGTACTACCTTCATCTTGTATCCTTTATTCAGTTTAATTACAATACCTACCATTCTTTCATTAATGATATAGTATTCCTCTATGTTGCCAGCTATGTTTCTGTGAATTAGGAACCCCACTCCCAGTTCTCTTCTGTCTGCCAAGCCCCGATAGCAACGAACGTGCCCATTCTGTAGCACCGTATAGACCTCATCTGTCCTCCTAACCTCACTGAGCCCTAATATATCCCAGTTAACACCCTCTAGCTCCTCGAATAGTACAGCTAGACTTCCCTCACTAGATAAGGTTCTAGCGTTAAACGTTGCCAAGTTTAGATTCCAATGGCGGCCTGTCCGTATCCAGAGATTCTTAGCACCCTCTGCTGCGTTGCAGATCTGACCACTGCCGTGGTCCGTTGCTTCTCAGCTGCTGGGGACTGAGGGCCGTGAGTTATTTGACGTAAGCATGTAGGAGGTAGTGGCCAGATACTGCACCAGGGTGGCCAATCCTTCTCTGGTGAGGGAGTGCGTTCTTTAACGTGCACCCAAATTTGAGCACGCGGGCCTACAACATTTCCGCCTCCATCAGAAATGCAGCCGGCGCAGCCGAGATTCGATCCCACGACCTGGGGGTCAGCAGCCGAGTACCTTAGCTACTACACCACCGCGGTGGGGCTCAACGCAAACGTTCTTCATCGAGTTGGGCGGCAAGACAACATCCTCAATGACGGTGATAGATCTTTGACAGCGCCTGGGATTGTCAGTAAGTGCCGATAGCATAATCTCGCCAGCACCGCTATCTACAGTAGCACCGCACTCGCGTAGAAAATCGATCCCCAAGATGATGTCATGGGTGGAGCTGGTCAGAACAGCGAACTCAGCCTCGAACACCTTGTCGCCCAAAGTGACACTAACAACACACACACAGATCGGGCACAGCGTCTCCCTGCTCACTGCACGAAATGTTGCACTACTGTCCCAGCGAAACATCACTTTATGTCCTAGCCGCAAATTGAAGTTCAGACTCATCACTGAAACAGTTGCTCCAGTATCTATCAAAACCATCGTAGAAAGTCCATCAATAAGCTTGGGGACCTAATTTTGCATCATAAAAATGGGTGGAAGTATACGTGGATGTAATGAAAAATGTTCGGCGACCTCACCTCCATTGGCTGCACCAAATAGTTTCCCGGGGCCGGGTAGGTGACACATCGACAAGGACATGGTGAACGGAACCGGCGTGTTGTGGGGGGCATGAAGCTTTGAACGGAGTAAGGCGAGTCATTGCGGAAATTCCGGTGGAAATAGCGTCCCACATGTGTGTCACTGTGAGCGGTTTGCTGGAAGCTGTCTGAATTCAGGAACAGCGCAACCTACAAGTAGTTACTTCGTAACTACGGAAGCGAAAAAAACAAGGACAGAAAAAAGCGCTGACTTTCAACAAAGATTTAATATCGGAGTGATGTACATGTATAGGCGAAAATTGAGAAAAATGGGCATGCGTAGAAGGGTGCAGGAACAAACTGCGATACACTATCAGGAAAACTCTTGATGCGGGATGCGTAAGCTGTCCCCAACTTACGCATCCCGCATCGAGTGCATACCACCGTGCCAGCGGTTTTGTCGAGAAGAAGCTGATAGTCCCTCGTAGTAGCGCTGCTGGGGGCGATGCCTCTGACCACAGAATCGAGCCACATGTCCACGGAAACCGCAGTTATAGCACACAGGCGCCTCACGCACGTCGCCAAACATTCCACGAGGCGCCATGTCCCCTTGATCGTCGCATGAAGACACCATTGTAGGTGGTTGGCAGGAGGCGTTCTGGAAACAGCGGCGATGATGTAGGTTGTCGGTTCGAGGCTGTGGTGCTCTTGATTGGGGCACATCACATAACGTGGCATCAACGGCAGCACACATTGCGTTGTATGGCGGGGAGGCGTTGCTGGCATGTGCCCTCGACGGGTTCACAACATCCCGTCGCCCAAGTTCTTCGCGTACAATTTGCCTGATCATTGAGGCAAGATCATAGGATGATGTTGGAGGGACGTGGAAACTTGCCACAGTAGTGACGTTGGATCGTCTATCAAATTTGGGAGTGACGCGCCTAGCCTTCATTGTCTCAAACGTGCAGCAGTGTTGGATTACGTCCGCTACAGACGGCAAGGTGGCCATGAAGGTACGGGGTGCTTAAAAAAAGAGTCATGTATTTACTTGACGCTGCGAGGGGCGTATCTGATAAACAAGGCCCCCAGAAAATATTATAGACAAATATAAAGATTATGCACTTTTTGTGGGCCCCTCGCAGGTCGGTATGTTGAAATTGTCCAGAGAAAGGAGGTCCGGGCTGAAGTTTAACAGATCGTTTGTTGGCTGGATGTACGTTCCCCGCAGCGTCAAGCTTGTTGACTCCCGTTTGGGTTTCTCCAAAATAATAAAGGATGGTGTTGCAATGCTCTACCCGAAGGCGTCACTCAAGATGTCACGCCCGTGTCACATGGACGTCAGTTTCGCTAGACAAGTGCAGTGAATCAAGCAATCATGGTTGCCTGAACTCCATCTAGCCCCCCTAGCCGAGGGTACTTCACAGCGGGTTAAGATATAAGTGAGGGGCAAAATCAGGTAAAAAAACAAATACTTGACTCCTTTTTTAAGCGTCTCATACCTTCACACCATATCCAATCGGATAAAAGGGGTGGGCTCAGCTTTCGGTTGTGAAAGGCTTTTCCGCTCAGATCAAGCTCGGCTGGATATGCGCTGTTGTAGATAAGAAGCTGTCAGGGCCGAGCAAGCGGGAACATAGGTGTGCTAAAAAGCTCCACGAAAGCTGGTTTAATGAGGCACGTGGGCGATGTTACTGTAAGAAAAGTGCTATACGTTGGACAGACGGGCCGTTGTTTCAATGATATATTATAAGGCCACAATACTTTTTTTGGGGGGAACACCTTGTTCAGACTTGTTCTACACCGTGTAGAGTGCGGCTGCCTAGCGGTGCGGTCAAGTGCTAGCGTTCGTTCATTATTAAAACGGAAAGTTGCGCGTGGAATTGAAGAAACGTTTTGTATTGGCAGATCTGGTGAAACATCCGTAGAGAGGCCATCTTTCACGCTGCATCCCATTGGAATAGACTCCTTGAGCACCAGCCACTCAATCTAATCGAGTTTGTTAACATTTGTATGATAAGACTATTTGTGCCAATTATATGTGAATGTCCTTCGATGAAACTCGGTTGATAAATTGCGCTCTCTTTGTGAGGTTCTTTTTGCGACCCTGTTTTTTTTTCGTCAAGTTCTACTAATATGTACCTATGGCTGATGTAGTTCTTCGCGTACAATTTGCCTGATCATTGAGGCAAGATCATAGGATGATGTTGGAGGGACGTGGAAACTTGCCACGGTAGTGACGTTGGATGGTCTATCAAATTTGGGAGTGACGCGCCTAGCCTTCATTGTCTCAAACGTGCAGCAGTGTTGGATTACGTCCGCTACAGACGGCAAGGTGGCCATGAAGGTACGGGGTGCTTAAAAAAAGAGTCACGTATTTGCTTGACGCTGCGAGGGGCGTATCTGGTAAACAAGGCCCCCAGAAAATATTATAGACAAATATAAAGATTATGCACCTTTTGTGGGCCCCTCGCAGGTCGGTATGTTGAAATTGTCCAGAGAAAGGAGGTCCGGGCTGAAGTTTAACAGATCGTTTGTTGGCTGGATGTACGTTCCCCGCAGCGTCAAGCTTGTTGACTCCCGTTTGGGTTTCTCCAAAATAATAAAGGATGGTGTTGCAATGCTCTACCCGAAGGCGTCACTCAAGATGTCACGCCCGTGTCACATGGACGTCAGTTTCGCTAGACAAGTGCAGTGAATCAAGCAATCATGGTTGCCTGAACTCCATCTAGCCCCCCTAGCCGAGGGTACTTCACAGCGGGTTAAGATATAAGTGAGGGGCAAAATCAGGTAAAAAAAACAAATACTTGACTCCTTTTTTAAGCGTCTCATACCTTCACACCATATCCAATCGGATAAAAGGGGTGGGCTCAGCTTTCGGTTGTGAAAGGTTTTTCCGCTCAGATCAAGCTCGGCTGGATATGCGCTGTTGTAGATAAGAAGCTGTCAGGGCCGAGCAAGCGGGAACATAGGTGTGCTAAAAAGCTCCACGAAAGCTGGTTTAATGAGGCACGTGGGCGATGTTACTGTAAGAAAAGTGCTATACGTTGGACAGACGGGCCGTTGTTTCAATGATATATTATAAGGCCACAATACTTTTTTTGGGGGGAACACCTTGTTCAGACTTGTTCTACACCGTGTAGAGTGCGGCTGCCTAGCGGTGCGGTCAAGTGCTAGCGTTCTTTCATTATTAAAACGGAAAGTTGCGCGTGGAATTGAAGAAACGTTTTGTATTGGCAGATCTGGTGAAACATCCGTAGAGAGGCCATCTTTCACGCTGCATCCCATTGGAATAGATTCCTTGAGCACCAGCCACTCAATCTAATCGAGTTTGTTAACATTTGTATGATAAGACTATTTGCGCCAATTATATGTGAATGTCCTTCGATGAAACTCGGTTGATAAATTGCGCTCTCTTTGTGAGGTTCTTTTTGCGACCCTGTTTTTTTTTCGCCAAGGTCTACTAATATGTACCTATGGCGGAGTTCATAACAAGCCACTGTTGTAGCAGTGGAGGAAACTCGTCAGCCGACACGGCCTAGTCACAGCATACATTGAGACAGAGAAAAAACACTGGTGATGAAAGTATTGTTGGGGCTTACGTGAAGTCGGAAATCCCCGAGACAGACGGCGTGGTTAGGAGAAAAAAGCAATCAGCAGCTGCGAACGCCAAGACAAAATCTGCAATAATGGCGATGTCGAACAGGTCCTCCCTTCATGTACCCTCTGCCTTAGACTGAGGCTGACCCGACCAGCATCTATACCGTCAACTAGTTGCAGTGAGAACTGGACATTCCTATTGTTATCGATTGCTTATCAGGTGGATTGTTTACACTTTTAAAGCACCCGTCTTTATCTTTCGCCGCTGGCCGTTGTGGTCTCCATATATGGTCTGCAGTGGTTTCGCTAACCTTGCGCAAAACGCAAATGTCACAGTTGTGCAAGAGCTATACTTACACTTAGCAACAAGCACCACTTCAAACACATGTGTGTTTATCGTATCTTTTGGAGATAACAAATAGAAAAGAAAAAGCGCTACCACGTTAGGGAAAGGCATGCAGCCGTCATCAAACTTAACACGCACGCTCTGCAGCGTGTGCTGAAACAGTTTCATTGACGCTAGTGCTACGTACTTTTGGATTGTGTTGCTGACATGTTACCCATGAATGCCGACATTCAATCGAAGCATGTCGAGGTATTATTTGGGCAACAACGCCCAGCGCTTTGCAGCCGGTTTCAATCAAAGTAGTCTAGGTAATGTTTCAGAGCATTGTTGTTAAGTTTGCTGATGACTGTGCGTCGTGTGCTTATTGGTATCCTCATATGTGACCGAACGAATGGAACGGGCAGTTTCGAAATATGGCTTGATCGTGTTTCTCCTGAAAAAATACAGAGACATTTCTGAAAAGACCTCCGAGAGTCAAAAAGCTTCATACAGCAAAAAAGTTATTATTATTATTATTATTATTATTATTATTATTATTATTATTATTATTATATTATTATTATTATTATTATTATTATTATTATTATTATTATTATTATTATTATTATTATTATTTTATCTTGAGATATGTGGACCGAACCTATACGTATAATTTTGAAGCATGCCGAGGAGGAGGACATCAGAAATTTTGACTATCTGGTGTTCTTTCACGTACGCTGACATCCCACAGCCTGGCGCTAAGCCTCCATGAGCACTTTATGCAGTTTTAAATGAAATCGTGTGGTGCTATAACTTGACGTAGGATCATAGTACAGCAAATGCTCGTAAATTCACACCGTCGCTAATTTATAGTATTGAACAGTTCGGGCGTGTTGCCTAATCTCGGCTAGCATACGTATGGTCTACTGGCATCAAAATCTTGCTAGTACGATCGGATTTGGCCGGAACCCGGTTAATTCGAAAGATCATAGGAGAAACTAAACGCGAAGCTCCACTAATGCGGAGCAAGAATGAATGAATCTAACTCATTGAACACTTACTTCCAGTCTGTCTTCACAGCTGACAATGGTAAACATACGCCGCTTCTGTTTCAGGGTAAAAACTTAAGTGCTTTAAGCTTGCCTCAATTATCTGAGCCGGGTTTGCTATCACTTTTATTAAACATTGCATGGGAAAAAAGGTAGTGGACCCGACGAGATTCCCAATGCGTTTTTAAAGCGTTACGCTGAATCTGTGTGTAAATACCTTTTTCTTATATTTTACAAATCGCTTAGGGATTGCCAGGTTCCATCGGAATAGAAAATTGCAAAAATATTTCGATTCACCAAAGTGGTGACTTGTCTTGTCCATCTAACTACTGACCAAATTCTATTACGTGTACTTCCTGCAAAATGCTTGAGCATATTATTCTAAAGTCCCTTACTGAATACGTGGAAGAAAATGCTATTATCGATTCCAATCAATACGGTTTTCGTCGCAGACTATCTACTTTCACGCAGCTGGTTGAGACCTTGCAAGAGCTTGCCAAGGGCATTAACGATCAATCGCAGATGGACGTCGTCTTTTTATATTTGTCAAAATCCTTTGACCGCGTTTATCACCCCAAACTGATCCAAAAGCTAACCAGTTTAATAAGAAACGGACCTATGACCAAGTGGATCGAAAACTATTTGACCGACCGCTACCAATTTGTTCAATATGGTACACATGTGTCTGACACGGTTCCAGTATTATCGGGAGTGCCCTAGGGCTCTGTTTTAGGCCCCATGTTGTTTCTTCTTTTTATAATTGTCATTGCTGACGTAGCCGATGTAAAAATCAGATTGTTCGCAGATGATTGTATTCTGTACCAGCGAATTGACAGCTACCAGGAACATTTAAAACTAGATGATTTGCTAAAAAATCTCGCAACCTGGTGTGGAGAGTGGCAAATGGAAATAAATACCAAGAAAATTGTCGCCATGTCAATTACAAAGAAAAAAACGACGACAAATTTTTCGTATTCGCTGGGAAACGTCCCACTTCGCAACGTCGCTGCCTGCAAATGTCCAGGCATCTTGATATCGTCCGACTTAAATTGGACTGTGCATGTCGAACATATTACAAAGAAGGCTCTCGGCAGGCTATTTTTACTTAAGCGAGCCCTTCGTCATTCGACACTCCAAACAAAACTTTTAGCGTATACTATGCTTATCCGCCCAATCCTCGAATATGCGAGTGTGGCCTGGTTCCACTTCACAAACAAACATGTAGCCGCGCTTGAAAGAATACAACGTAGAGCAGCCTGTTTTATCTATAACCGTTATAGGCATACCGACTCACCTACAGCTCTTTTGATAAGAGCAGATCTGCCCACTTTGGCGAGCCACGCAAAGCTTCATAGTCTGAGAGTTTTGTATCTGGTGCTACACAACTCTTTGAAAATAAATCCAGCTTATTATTTTAAGGTTAACAGTAAGCGCCAAACACGAAATAAGCATTACCAAACACTTGATGAGTATCTTTTCAAGAACAATGTTTTTGGCCACTCTCTTTTTTCCGCAAGCCATACGCGCTTGGAATGCCCTGCACCCCACCGTGTCGACACAGCCGACAGTTGATAAATTTGTTAATCGATTGATTGATTTGATTTGATTTGATTTGTGGTGTTTAACGTCCCAAAACCACCATATGATTATGAGAGACGCCGTAGTGGAGGGCTCCGGGAATTTTGACCACCTGGGGTTCTTTAACGTGCACCCAAATCTGAGCACACGGGCCTCGTCATTTCCGCCTCCATCGGAAATGCAGCCGCCGCAGCCGGGATTTGAACCCGCGACCTGCGGGTCAGCAGCCGAGTACCTTAGCCACTAGACCACCGCGGCGGGGCTAAATTTGTTAATCGAGCGAGTGAATGTGTGCTGACTATTATTTAGCCGTGATTTCCTGAATCGATGATGTCGCAAGTTTTAACTCTGTCTTTACAATTACGTTTTGTATTTGTTTTTTTTGCTTGCCCTAGCAATTTCTCTGATGTTTATATTCATGAAGACTCTTTGCCTATCACTACGACGAATTTTGCCCTATGTTTGAGATAGTTACTTGAAATTTTAGGTGCTTGCAACATGTGTTTTTAGTCTGTGTATTGCTTGTCTTTACAATATACAATGTGATACCACTCTTGTAATAACTCCATCACGGGAGTGACAGTATTACAAGTAAATAAATAAATAAATAAATAATAAAATGTGCCACGCAAAAGGCGGGAAACAGAGGGCTGAAACGAGACGATGCTTTTCGTATACAGTTAATGCCATGATTTTGTCCACAGGAGAAACCAGTTCTCAGCCCCGTCGTTTTGACTTGATACTATGAGCGCGCAATGTCGAAAACACTAACATGGCAGAAGCTAGCTGTTGAAAACGAAGAGCTTTCAGCCATGCTGGCGTAAAATTCGTTTGCCTGATGGACGGGTTGTGCGCTAATTTACTTACATATTCACCATCCTGACGTATGCATGACATAGTTGACGGGACGTAATAAAAGACAAGCGCAGAGCACGTTTCGTGCTTATTGGGTCTTGCACCGTGGTCACACTAAAGACGTAATCGCAGAATAAGAAAAACTGCGGATTTTACGATGGTCTTATGCAAAACAAATACAGGATTTGCGCATTCATTATGAAAATGCAAGGGCATTGGAATACCAGGCATTTCTTATTTTCTCGATACTTTTCGTTGTTCGGCATTTGGTTTATTTGGACAATTTTTTCCGTTCCAGTGAAACGAGGACTAATGAACTTTTAAGCCATATTCAAGGAATATTGTTGCATTCAACGTTAAGACACAGTTATTAGAAAAAGGTGGGTTTATTCATTCAGCGTATACTTCGAAGCAAACTCGCGAGATTTTCAATCTTGTACTTGTTTCATCAATGGTTTCATCTCACAATCTATTTTACAATCAGCTGTAAAAAGCTCGCTTTATCCGGTGCGTAGAGCCCCGGCAATTTTCGTCTTTGTGGTTGCATTCACCATCCATCTTTCGCTTCCTGTGCATTGAACTGTTTTATTACGCATCCTAAAGTGTTTTTTCATGGTTTTTCAACGTAGCTATCCACTTTCTCGCTGTACAACGACAGGCAAAAGTGAGACCACCGAGATTGTTTTGTGTATCGCGGAGACCATAGGCAAGAAAAGCCCGACTGTGGTGCACGAGCGACATTGAGTGATTTACCTGTTGACGTACGAGTTCGAGTTGGCTTGTTAACGCCAAAACTTAGTGCAGTAAAAAAGGTCACGTGCATGATGCTGTGTGGTGACGACAAATTCAGACTATATATTGGTAGTTGGGGCGTGTGCGACATTTATCGCACGCGTCACCAGTCAACTGTTGCATGGTGCACGCAGTGGTTAAAGCTTCTGTTAAGCTTCCTAATCAAAATTACCATGGCTCTTCTGAAAGCCTACCGAAAACAATAACAGGAGACCTACACGATCACACCTCTCATGCGACCGGCTGAAGAGACCACGAATTTTTCGCTTATTTACCATGTTCGCAACGGCCCGTATTCAGCGCTTTCGCCGTTCTGCTTCGTTAAAGCTACGGAAATCGGTAAAATTGAAGTTGTTTATATCCGTGGCAATTTAGAACGCAACAGTAGCGTCGACTGCGCTCTTTTTCTTTCGAGCGCCGAGCTCTTGCATCTGCTCTTGTCTTCCCTGTCATTCTGGAGAGTGAACCAGCAAGCACTTCATGAAGGTTCGGTGACGCCTCAGACTAGCTTAGAGAAATTC